TAATAATTTTACTACTGTTAGAATCAGAAAGACCTGTTCTACATCCTTTATTAGAAATTTAAAACCAGTTTACTTAATAAAATTTTCTTTAATTTTAAAAAGAAAAAAAAATTACCATTAGTTTTATATATAATTTGCAAATAGTATCCTCTACCCTTAAAAAATAAATACATAATATGATGTTACACAATACGGTTACAAATTTATTACCCCTTATCCTTAATAATCTCCTGTTGTGCATTAGGTGATGTTTGAACTAAATTATTTGTAGTTTTTTCAAATATCACTTTGGAACCTAATTTTGATAAAAAGATTCATTGTAAATTCTAAGTACAATTATACTAGTTTAACATATAAAACTTACGCAAGTCTTCAAATCGTTTGGCTCTCATTTTATCAATATTCATCAATTGGTCACAGATTGTAATAACTTCTTCATCAATGTTCATGGCTTCTTTTGTATTCAATTCAGAGATGTACTTAAGCTCGCGTAGGAGGACTAATAAAGTTTGTAAACACCCTATTAACAGAGATATCATTAATTCTTTTTAGAGATGTTTTTAATTAATAAAGGCTTAAACAGTGATTCAGGGATTACCACTTACATTTGCTCTCTGGTTCTATTTCCTGCAATTCTTTTACTGTAGCAATTTCACGCTTAAGAAGATTTATTCTTTCTTGTTTTGTCAATGGCAATATGTCTTGTTTTATCGAAAACAAATGTCATTAATCTTGCCTTAAAAGATGTGTTAAAATACGAAAATACAAACCTCGACCGATTAACCACCAATGGTAGAGCCAGGCGCTTTGATCATCTGGGTCTGTATAAAAAGCAGACTTAACAAGTTCGAATTCTTTGACATATTATGGATATCATTGAGAATTTGAGAATTTTAATATATATTCTTATTTCATTGCTAAAACGATTATAAAATATCTTATATACCTTGGTCGATAAGGTTTTTTTTCCCTTGATCTCCAAGTTGTTCATCTTCCAACAAATTTGGCAACAATTTACTACGTTGATGCCACGCAGAATAATTTGAAAAGTTTTGATTAATCTTAGTAGTGGTAAAATCAAATTCGGTTTTGCAGAGATTTAATGCATTTGAATCGATGCAAGAAAGCCTCGTTATCACATAACGTCGGTAATCCCATCCATGAACTTTATGATAAAAATTAGGATAAATAAGGCCATTCTAAAATTTGCAATAAATTGTCAATTTGACAAATTCTTACAATTTCTTGCATCCATATCTAACATTTTACCAACGAGGTCCAATTCACTTTTCCAATCAGGATTAGGCATAGTATCTAAGCACCACCGTCTATGGTTGAAAATCCAATATGATTTTGGATTATGTCGAAAGACTTCTTGAAGAAATAGTAATTCGGACGAAAATTTTTGCTGTTTTTCCTCTTCAGAACTATAATATTATTAAATGACTAGATATATTAAGGTTTTTGTGAACTAATTACGTTATCGACACATACCAATCTTCTGAAATCTCATTTAAAAGAATTGATCTCCTAAGGTTCCAAATTGTATAAAAATCAGGATTTTGTGACAAAATCTTGGTAGTTAAGATAAAAGCTTCCTTGTCAAATTCACATTTGCTTTTCTATTATTTGCATTATTGTATAAATTGAACATCAAAAACATGTCTAAAGACAGTATAATATCTAATGTCGGATCTTTTCGTCGAAAACACACCTTTTCGAAACATGCTGCTACAATACCATTGTATTCTTTGATTTTGGACGCTTCTTTTTCCTTTCTCAATTTTTCTACTTCCGCAGTGGGTTTGACACGTTTACGACCATGCTAATAATTCCATAAATTTTTGTAATTCTTATCATTTGCCAATTTTTCAATAGAACAAAATTTTTATTCCCGGAATGTCTTACCATGACTGTAATAGCTGTAATTTTACGACTGAAGATAATCTTTATAATGTTGGTCATACATTTCAATTGGCCCAAATTATATATCACATTATTACCCGATTATCTCATGTAGGGGACTTTTTTTGTTACTGATTTTCTAATACAGTAACAGGTAATACGCGTCAGAATTCGATTTGCTATAAGTTTATTAAACTTACTCGATTTTCTCGAGAATTACAATATTATTCTATGTTGAAAAATGATACTTCGAAAATTTATAAAAAATATCACCATTTTGGTATTCTGTTTTTTAAATTTAATATTTATTTCAAATGCCGAGACACCTCCTGTTCAGGCATGGATCAAAACTTCATGGGAAGCTCCCTACTTGGTTCTTGAAATTATGTATGTAAATCGTAAAGACTTTTGTAAATAGCATCTTTTAATGGGGACGGTATTAATTTTTTATTATTTGTATTATTACGTTATTTTAAGTGAATCTGTAACTGTCGAAAATTCTTCAGCATATTTTCCTCTCATTGATGAATTTTTGAGACGAGGTTTAATATCCTCAAATACAATGTCAGATTCTGACCTATATAAACAAGCTTTAAGTATAATTGAATCAGGACAATATTTGTCAGTGCCAACCTCACTATCATTTCTTGAATTTGCTCTTTATTTACATACCACTGCGCCAGCGATTCAAGCATATTATCATTATTATAATGCAACCGTAGTTCCAAGTACAAAAGATTATATTGAAAACCATGAAAATTTGAAATTTGATCCTGACTGTGATGTTTGGGTAGATTGGTATGGAAATCAGGCTTGTAGTATTGAAGAATTTAAAAGAATCGCCGGAATTACTGATGATAGTAAATTTAACTTAAGTTTTAATATAAAAAGGTGGTTGTTTAAGATGTAAATGACTTTTTATATATTTGAAATTATTCATATTTAACAAAATTATTAATAATTTGTTAGTGATGCACCGTCTCCTAAGCTCTTACCTTTTGATCATATTTTGCAATATGATGAAATTACACCTATAGCTATTTTATACGCTAATTTATATTCACCAGATTTTGTGACTTTTCATAAATTATTGTCTGATTTGGCTAAGAATGGAGTTTTAAGCTATGTCTTGCGATATAGGCCACCAAAAGACAAACGAGACACATTATATCTATCTGGATATGGCGTGGAATTGGCTTTGAAAAACACTGATTATATTGTATTGGATGATCGTAAGGTAGAAACAGGTAGAATAATAGATTTCCTTTTGAAAACTTAATTTTTTATAATTATCTTGGCAAATAAATTTTTTTTCTTTGATTTATGGATAGGTGATGATGTAAACAACAGTGATAATCAAGAATCAATTTTCCAAGAAAGGCCATCGACTGATAATTTATTTGATCAGCAAATATCTGAAATAAAACCTTTAAAATATGGTGAAATCCAAGGTTATTTATATATTATATTTGGTGTAATATACATTTTTAATTTAAATATAGATCGTTACTCATTTATCTATTTGTTTTTACAGACCTTGGTCTCAAAGCTGCACAATTTGTTTTAGAGGCTCAGAATCCATTATCAACACTTTCTCAGCTATCACAAGATTTCCCAAAATACTCCGGTTCTATTTCGCAAATTACACTAAATTCTACATGGGAAACAGAAATTCGATTGAATCAGCAATACATTATGGATTTAGATAAAAACTCTATTTGGATAAATGGACTAAATTTAGATCCCTACTCTGTTGATCCATTCAGGTATTACTTAATTATACAATTATTAGCGAGAATATTTCTATTGTTTATTTGTCTTTAATTGGTGTTAGGTTTTTTATAACAATAGTTTATTGAAGACATTACGTCGTGAAAGACAAATTATGTTATCTCTCAAAAGCCTTGGTTTGAATTTGCAGCAGGCTGTTGAATTACTTGCGTCTCCCATAATTTCGGAATCAAAATCTTCTCAGGACCTTTTTAGAGGTGTTTTTGACGTTCGTGATAAATCTGACAAAGGACATGCAGTTGTATGGTTAAATGATTTAGAAAAAGATGATCGATACGCTAATTGGCCTCGTCGTATTTATGAGGTATTTAGATTTTTTTTTACATCGAAAAAAGTGAATATCTTGTTATACCTTTTAAAATTGATTATACGGACATAATTTTCGATTCGTTAGCTGCTTCGTCCTGTATATCCAGGACAAATGCGGTATATACGCAGAAATTTGTTTTCTGTCTTGTTTGTCCTTGATCTCTCCTCTATGGGTAGTCTTAAAACTATTACCGAATATGTCAACATGCTTATAGCTCGAGACGTTCCTATCCGTTTTGGTGTTGTCCCTCTGTTTTCTGAAAATAAACAAGACTGTAAGCAATTTTAATCACATTTGGTCGTAATTCTTTAATATTTTGATTTTAATATATACATATGTTATTTTAAAGCTCTTGTAATGGCGCGAATATTTTACTATCTCGTTGATCGATACTCCACATCGTTGGTCATAGATTTTCTTGCCCAAGTATATATCAATAATAAAAAACGATTACATTTGAAGCAATCTCTAATAACTGTTAAATTTGAAGTAATCTCTAATAACTTTAATTTTAAATTAGATTTATTCTGAACTCAGTAAATCATCGACAAAAGAATTTAATGAAATAATTCGAGAAAAATTTGATCATGTGATTAATGACAAAAAGTTAAATGAGGAAAAAAACTCTAGTACTTTTGAAGATATAATCAATTCAGAAAAATCTCCAGTTAGTGAACAAATAGAAGATGCAGCCAAGTTCATCCATCGATTTCATATAAAATTGGAAGGTGATGGAGTTTTCTTCGTAAATGGAAAATATTTCGATATGGATGAAGTAATCGAATATTATCAAATTAACTGATTTGGCACGTTTATAAAGCACATGCATTTTGACTAATTATACATTCTATACATAAATTCAGAACTATCAACGTAACATGGCTCAAATGATAAATGAGTACACAGTATTTTTACAGCAAAGAGTAAGATCAATTAGATTTACTTAAAAGGAATCATTTAAGCAATATATATGTAAATGATTTATTTTATTCTGTTTAGGTCTACATAGGAGAGATTAATGATATCACCGACATTTATGATTATTTTATGACCATGCCGGGTATTCCAGATAGAAGAAATTCTTATATTTTTGTATCAGATTATCAACCTTTAAATGTAGTCAATTTAGTCATTGATAAAGATTGGAATAATGTACCAATTAACAACTTAAAATACGTCTATTCTGGTAAGACATCTTTTTTATCAATATAAACAAATTTGGAAAACTCTTAAGATTTTTTTTCCATATTTCAGAGAATCAAACTAGCGAAGAGATTCCTATGACAATATTAATTGTTTCGGATTTCAATAAAAAAGATGGTGCAATGCAAGCATTAGAAGCACTAAAATTTTTGGTATGATAAAAATGTGTTGCATATAAATTTGGTCATATAAATCAACTTGACGTTTATAAATCTCTTTTTGAAGGATGCATCGCCAAACGTACGAATATCCTTCATCCATAACCCATCAAACGATGCCGGTGACAGTATCATGTCATCAATGATTTACTATCTACTATATGAAGTTGCAGACTTACCAAAACATTTATCACTCAAGTCTGCGTTTCAAGAGTTTTTAGATAAACTTTCATTGGAAAAAAATCATGTGAAAGATGGTAATGATGAAAAACAAATTCCGATTGGAAAAATTATAAATTCTGCAGTATCAGCAGGGTGGCAAATGGTCGATAATTTAAAGGCTGACAAATATTGGAAAGATATGAAACTATTCATTAAAAATCTGCTAAAATTAGACCAAGGAGATACTGCCTTCGTCGTAAACGGTCGTGTAAATATATTTTATTTTGCTTCTCTTAAAATATGCATGTACACTTATTTTTTTTTTCGTTCTAGATCGTTGGACCTATTGATCCGGATGACTTTTTTACCTCCGATGATTTCGAATTATTGGCCAATACTGAACTTACCGAACGTATAAATCCCGTTATTGAAACTGTAAAAAATCTCAATTTAAACTTAACATTAAAGGGGTATTTATATTTTATTGATTTTTAGTCTCATTTTTATATATTTATCGTTAATGTTTATTGAAAAATGATAGATCGGATTATTCGGATTTCTTTTTTAAGACAATTTCCGTAATTTCCGTTTCTGGTGTGTCTGACGTTCCAGTTGGCCTCTTTAATATCCAAAATAATAAACGTGATCTTTTATACAAAACTTTGAAGAGAGAATGCGGGTGCATATAATTACACTTTTAAAGGTCTTTTAATATAAAAAAAAAAAAAAAGTCCAATAATCAACCTTCTTGCTTATTCAATTTTAGTCTAATACGGATTGGTCAAAAAGAAACCGCAACGTATTATATTGCCGCTGTTGTTGATCCATTAAGTCAAACAGCACAGAAATGGTCAACCATTTTAATGGTAATTGTTATATGTATACTTAAAATCTCGATTTTTTTGGTAATCATCCACATAATTTAATTTATTTTAGACACTATCCAAAATTGAGGGTGTTTACATTGAGCTGTACCTATATCCTCAACTGAATTTGAAAGAATTACCAATAAAACGCTTTTATCGATATGTTTTGGAGCCTCGGTTGAAATTTAACGAAACAACAGGGTAAGGTTCATATGTTAATTTTCATTTTATATAAATTTTAATTCACCGATTTAATTTTACATTTTTGTCATTAAGCGCTCTTATCCCGCCAACTGCTTATTTTGCGCATCTTCCAGAAGATCCACTATTAACGCTTGGCATGGATGTAATCCAATCATGGCTAGTCACACCAAAAGCGTCAATACATGATTTGGATAATATTCGTTTAACCAACCTAGATAGTCGATCTAGAATTAAAGGAGTAGAGGCAGTTTTCGAATTGAAAAATATTCTTATTGAAGGACATGCATTTGATGTTACAACGAATTCACCGCCAAGTGGCCTTCAACTTTTACTTGGCACAAATAATTATCCTGCGATAGTTGATACAATTGTGATGGTTAATCTTGGGTATTTACAATTAAAAGCAAATCCTGGCGTCTGGACACTCCGATTAAGAGAGGGAAAGTCAAAAGAAATATACGATGTCCTAAGTGTTGGTAGTGAGGGATGGTTTAGTCGGAGCGTTAATGAAACTGGTAACGAAATAGTATTAAATAGCTTTGAAGGGTTGATAATTTATCCTCGTTTTGTGCGTAAGCCGGGAAAAGAAAATGAAAAAATTAAAGAGGATGAAGACGATGAAGGTCTTTGGGAATATTTCAATAAAATCAAGAATAAGTAAGTAATTCTAATTTCATGAACTTTATATAATCTACTACTCAAAATATTATTAAAACATATACACTTTTTTAAGGTTCACACATAAACAAGATAGTAATATACAAAGCAAAGCTGAAATAAATATATTTTCGGTGGCATCCGGGCACCTTTATGAAAGATTTTTGTATATAATGATTCTTAGTGTGTTGCGACATACAGATAGCAAAGTAAAATTTTGGTTCATTGAAAATTTTTTGTCCCCTTCCTTCAAAGTAAGCAAACCAGTTTCTGAAATTGTTTATAAATCGCTGAAATTAATGGATCTCAAATGACTAATATTCATGATGCAATACGTTTATATATTTTATAGGATTTTATACCACATATGGCTAAAGAATATAAGTTTGAATACGAACTCGTGACATATAAGTGGCCACATTGGCTGCGCAGCCAGACGGAAAAGCAGCGGACGATATGGGGGTAAATTTTTGGCTCGAGTAAAATATGTTAACATATTCACTATATTTTTGTTAAAATACCCTTCTTTGTTTAGATATAAAATTTTGTTTCTTGACGTTCTTTTCCCTCTCGATTTGGACAAAGTTATCTTTGTTGACGCTGATCAAATCGTTCGAACTGATCTTAAGGAGTTAGTTGATATGGATTTAAAAGGTGCACCATATGGATATACTCCGTTTTGTGATAATCGACCAGAAATGGATGGGTTTAGATTTTGGAAGTCTGGATACTGGAGTGAACATTTGAACGGAAAGTCATATCATATTAGGTGCATTAAATATTTTATTTCTAGTCTTGTTAGATTCAGGATAATAGATTGCTTTTCTAATTAACTTTATTCGTTTAAAGCGCTTTATATGTAATCGATTTGCAAAGATTTCGTCAAATGGCTGCTGGGGATAAATTACGTGGTCAATATCAGTTCCTTAGTTCAGATCCGAACTCTCTATCGAATTTGGACCAAGATTTGCCAAATAACATGCAACATATTGTGCCAATATTTTCTCTGCCACAAGAATGGTTATGGTGTGAGACATGGTGTAGTGCTGAATCATTAGCTACGGCAAAGACTATCGATTTGGTAAATCTTAATATTAAGTGTATATTATGTTAAATATACTTTTATATTAACTTCATTTTCAATTTAGTGTAACAATCCTTTAACAAAGGAGCCTAAACTCGACAGAGCAAAGCGTCAAATTCCTGAATGGGAGTCATATGACAATGAAGTAGCAGCTTTAGCGACAAAGATTGGGCAACAAAAATCTACATTAGATAATCAACATAATGTTCCAGAAAGCAGTTCACGAAAAACAGAATCAACCACCACCTCCAAAATAGCAGCTCCTGCTACTCATCTTCATGAAGAATTATAGGTAATTTCGGGTATTGATTTTTCATATCTCACGATAAAATCACAAACGTGAAAGATAAAATATATTTATTTTGTATAATGAAGAAACAATTTAAATTTAGTGTTAAATGCACTAATAATGAAAACCTTATATAGACTTTGAACATGTATAATCTTGCATCCAAAATAAATGTATGAACGTACAGTCAGCTTTTCCTGAGCGCGTTCTGTCACATTTATAGAGTAAATATTTACAAACTTAGATCAAGATATGCACTGCACTTATACTTAGAGGGGACGACGGATTATTAGCATTACTGCTTAATATTTTCTTTTAAATATTAATAATTGAATATTCACTTTTTTATAATAATAAAATACGTTCCGTCACTCAGTAGCTTAATATTTTATCTAAAAATACAAAGATAAACATAAAATAAAACTATACAAAATGAATTTTAACGTGATTACTGAAGGAAAAATTTCTTCTTTCCAAAAGTATTTCCGAAAGTGGAATATATACTATTAATTATATTCATTCTATTTGATTCATTCATATTGGATGAATCATCCTGTGAGTTAATTGAAGCCGTTGTTTGTTGTTGTTTTGGTGTTGGTGTTAGTGTTAGACTTTCCGAAAGTTCAAATTGTTCCGAAGAGTACTTTATCAAAGAAATATAATTGTATTAATAAAAAAAGATTAGCCAAAATAAATCGTCAAAGAATGTAACATACGATTTCTTTAGTGGACTCGTTAACATGTGTAAAATTATCGACAACTTTTTCTTGTTTAGAAGTCCTTCCAGCGTCAAATTTTGAAAGTAGATTATTAACGTGACCTTGCCTTGGAACACTATGCACCGAATTTGATGTCTAAAATAACAGATAAATAGTTTTTAGTATCTCATTCAAAAATTTACGCGTAAAGTGAATTTGTTAAAGACAATTACTTGTTCATTATTACTATCGCTATTACTGTCGCTATTACTACTGTTATTATATTTACGATTATGATGATTATTATTATAATTATTATTATTATTGGTGAGTGTTGATAATAATTTCCCTTTTATTTCGGCAACTAATGGGCCACGATTATGATTGATACCTCCATCAGAATTATGGTATACATGTGCTCCTTTTTTTGGACCCAATTCATCATTTGATTTTGTGATGTGTTTTTGTTCAAAGTTAGGAATAATGTAATTAACGTTGGGTGTTTGTTTTGGAGATACTGAAGGTGAATAAGGTGGTGTGCGGACAGGAAGATTAATCGGAAATGAATGAACTAAATATTGGGTTTCAAAACTATATTTTTTGTTAACTTTTTTGTTACTTGAATTTTCATTTTCTTCATTGTCAAGTGAGTCATCAAACTGTGCATCAGAAATAATTTCAGGATCTCCAATTTCTGTATCAATACTTAAATTTGTATGGGCATTAAAATTATCTACAGAGGGCAACTTGTTGATTTGATCATTTGGCCTTTTAACTTCATTTCCTGTTAAAGATGATGTTTTTGCAATTTGCTGAATATTAAGTATATCATAATCACCATAATCCCTAAAGAAAGGTGCATCATTTTCATCTATACCAATAGAAATTTTTGATATTAAATCTTGAGCTGAAGGATTAATATTTGAAGAAAATGTAGGACAAATTGGAAGAGATAAACGGTTTCTCGATGTTTTTTCATTCATCACAATATTTCTTTTCATTGGCTCATGATGAAGAATATTTATAGGAGATGAGTGTTCTGATTTTGTAGCATTAATGTGTGGAATTTGTATTTCTGTTGATTGTAGAGAATTTAAAGATTGAGAAAGATAATTTTCAGGTTCTTCAATTAAAGGAGTTGAAGTATTTGATGGCATATAATTCATTGCAGCTAATTGCATATCTGATATAGATGCAATGGATTTTGATATACGATGCGAATATTTTCGCGATAACTTGCGTGAAAGTACAGATGTATCTTCGATTGGAGATCGAATCTGTGAAGTAAGGTAATAGATATCATTATAATATGATTTCATTCAACATTTCAAAATGGTAGATATACATAAATTCATACCTGTTCTTCCAAAATACTATCAATTTCTTGAGGAGCAGGGATTCCCATTGTAGCAAATGCAGACCATTCATTTATCTTTGTAACAATTCCTCCACATTTTTTTAATGACTCATTAAACAAGGTAAATTGACCATCTGTTATCCGACAAATTATCTGCATAACTTGGCCATGAGCTTGTTTTTCTCGCTTTGCAACATGATTTTTATAGGTAATATTTTTCTATAATGTATATTTTGAAAGATTTAATATATGTTTTTTATTTTTTTTTTAACCAAAAAAAATAAATTTTGTAGCAAATCTGATCTCACCTCTTGAGCTTCTGAAATTGCTTTATTATCTTTCTTTGGTTTTTTTTCATAATCAATATCAATTTTTTTTATTTGTTTATATGGCTCATTAACACTTTCAAATGCTTTTTCTTCTTTCTAAAGATTTAAATTTATAAATAAATCCGAAAAAAAAAGATAGTACTAATTTATTACTTACAGCAACTTTCTTTGAATATTTTTCCCAGAATTTTTGTAATGCTTCGAATTCTTTTTGTAGATGCTTACTCTATTTGTAAATGAGAAAAATTCCTTTAAAAAAAAAAAAAAAATCGGATACCGTATTCGCGAAATAACGCAATTTCAAAATTTGGCCCAAATTAAGCTTAATTCGGGCCATTATTCTAAATAACGCTCATGTGCGTTCTTACGCGAAAATACGGTATAAAAAAAAAATAAAATAATTCAGTCATTATCATACCGACTTGTTTTGAGCGTCGGAATAATTCTCATAAAATTGAGACGCAGCTTGAAGACACATTACTGGTCAAAAAACTATGCGTTAGCGTTATCACGTGCACAATAGTAACATATGATATATAAAACCCCCGCTTTACCATGAGAATTATCCATTCCCTTGTTATTTCCATATTCTTTGAGAGATTTGCTAAAAGCTTTTGAGGCTTTTGCAAGTCTATCAACCAAATCACAAAAATTTCCGGCATCTGAAACCAGACGTCCAAGATTTTCGACTGCTTTTTGAACATCATTCAGACCCAATGCTTTATCATTTAGAATTGGTTGTCCTGGGAAATAACTATTAAGTGACGATCCGAGAATTGGTGTCTGAATTGGAGAACTTGGTTGAGAGCTGAACAGTGAAAATCTTTTTTTCTTATGCGATGTAACCATATTTGCAATTGTTAAATTGTAGTTATATATGATCAAACACACGAAATTTTATTTTCTCGATGCGTTTTATAGATCTGCATGCATTAAAATACGAAAATTTTATAAATATGCTTTTAGGCATCAAAAAAAAAAATAAATAAATAAATAAAATAAAATAAAAAAAAAAAAGGATAAAAAAAAAATTTGTTGAAAAAAAAATCACAGCGATAAATTGTTGAAGTTAAAAGAAAAAAAATTGAAGCCCCCGAAATTACGGGGTTAAGATTACTCAAAGTCCAAACATGGAATAATTAAAATAAGGGAAATTTGGAAGGTCGATTGTTTCTAAGGATCGTTCCGTACAACATTGCTCTGTTATAAGTCTCATGACCTTATCCTTAATTTCTTCGTTATTCAACTCAAGACATCAATATTATTAACTCAAATGGAATTTGTATAAACCGAATTTTAACTTATTCGATAAATGTTCAAGTCATCTATAAAATTATTAAAATTGGTTAATAATTTAGCAAATATGTTCTTTCTATTTATACAAACTTTTTACCTCTTAATAAATATGCACGCCTCAATTTTTGTATGCTTCTACGTAATACATGATTTTTAACTATAAATGTAACCAAATTAAGGTAGCAATTTATTCTTTTACCTCTCTTATTATAGCAACATTCCTAAATAATATTATTTTATTTTCAAGTATGTAGGTGAGAGCATACAAGCCAAAGACATAGAAAAAGTTAAAAGCAAACACGTATAGTCAGAACCTTACTTCCCCCTACAGTGTATATCATTTGATCGGTCTAACTAAATCACTCTTCATAAATGTAGTGCACTTTTCCCTGACAACGTAAAGTTAAATATAAAATCACAGGATAGTACATATATTAAACTCACTATATATATATATATACAGTCCCGAATCGGAAAATCAGTCTGATCAGTTACATATGATAAATAATAATTAAGTTTAATTACCATATTGATATCGATATGTCGCCGATCAAAATTTTGAGTCCGGTGTAACGGAAAAGCCGGTGATAGGGGGAGCGTGGAACAGCGGTTTGGTCATGGTCACATTTTTATGAGCGATACTTAGAATCGGAACGAAATTGGAATGTCGATATTTAGATTATTAACAGAAGATATAAAGGCATTAATTAGGAAGACTAAGAATTCTATATTTTTATTAGGAAGGGAACAAAGATACATCCGTCTTCTTTCTTACGTTGGGAGAGACTAGCATTATAACATGCACAGGATTCATTGAAGACACATAATATAATTTTCTTCACTGATATTGTTTTCTAATAATGCCACACTTGTCACAAGAACATTAACACATTAGAATTACTACTTGGATACTAAATAGAAGTAATACAACTGTATTTCTCAAACATATGTGCCCGGGATATTCCCAAGTTCGTTTTAGTGGCCAGAATATTGTGTAGGGGTACTCCGTATGAATAAGTCTTATGTATCTGAGTACATAAGTATGATGATATCATACTTAGATACTCGAGTATAAATAATAGTATGAAGAAATCTATAAATATCTATGATAAATATAATTTTAATATTTATTTATTTAGTATTAGTGCAAACTATTTATTATACAGTATATGTTATTATTAAAAATCATTAAACTTAATTTTGTTTATTAATAATTATTATACAAATAAATATAAGATATAATATAAATCAAACATTTCTTTAAACAAAAATTGGTTTAATATCAATTGTGAAAAATCTAATTTAAAATAGTACAAAAACTTCAAAAATATAATTTTCATTTATTACCTACTGTATGGTGGTGTTGCACCTATTATACGTATACTTTTATATACTTTACTAAACTTTTACAAGTTTTATAAATAAAAGTTTTAGCTCAAATTTTTCACGTTGCGGTTAGTATTTAGGTTAGAATTAGGGGTTGGAAAAGGTTTTGGGAGCGTAGAGCATTTTTACTTAGAATACTGCATACATATTAATTAACCAGTTTTTAAGCTAATACAAAATATATAGGTGATAAAACACTATAGGTGCGTTTTAGTAAAAGTGTATAATTTTTAGCTTTATAAAAAATTTTATAAGGCGAAACAAAGTAAATTTCCTGGTTTCATATCCCGGTCGGTCAATTGTTTTCGATTCAAAATTTAAAATTTATTTAAAATTTATCGTGCAAACTCTTATGATCATGGATTTTTCCTTTTTGCCTTTTTGTTATTTTTTGTACGTTATATTACATAACGATAAGCATAATGACTTGTAAAGAGATCTATGTCAAAATCCTGAAATTTAATTGTCGCATCGCGTGATGTCGGGGTTTCAGTATTCAACTCCCGCTTATGATTAGTAATAGTGAATTACTAATCATAAAATACTGGACCCGGCATCACGCGCGCGACAATTAAATTTCAAGATTTTGACATAGAACCCTTTGTAAAGCATGATCATAATTGCACATCGCATGATCCAATATCTTATAAATACAGTATTAACAATAACCAGGTAAATGAAGTTTTTATATATTAAGCCGGGAGTTCGGAGTTTAATGATATATGAAAATCAGAAATTAACTTTGCATAGCCTAATTCGAGTTTACTAAAATGCATCTATGGTGCGAATACCATAGGTGCTACAGTATTACTCTAAGTAAAAATGTTCAGGACTCCCGGCAACCTTAGCGTAACAAAGTTTGGACCTTTATATACAGTATATGAAGATTTTATTATGTTATAAGCCCCTACTGTATTTTATATTAAAAATGCACTCTATCCTTAAATTTTATTAAAACCATAGGTGCATTTTATAATAATTGTTATAATTTTAATTCTATTTGTTTAAAAAAAAAATCCAATCTTGAAATTAAAACCAGTTTATATAAAAATATCTCCATATAGTGGATTTACTAATAAAACTCTTGATACACCATGCAGAAACTTAAATTTCTTAATGCGCAGTAACTGCATAGTAACTCCAGTTACGATTAAATTTAATAGCAGATAATATATAATTATGTAATTACTACGTCGTTACTATGCAGTTATTGCGTATTAAGATATTTAAGTTTCAGTAAAGCTGTATAGTAAATTTTTAAAATTAAATTTTATAATAGAACTAATAACTTCATTATTTTAAATATGTATTTGATACTACATATATGTATATACATTTTTAACAATCTATATAAAACATACATTGTCAAAACATAATTCGGCTATAAATGATATAATAATTTTTTTAATCAGATAAATTTGTTTTTTCAAAGTAAGAATTTTTAGAACTCAGATCGCTACTTTTACCAACATCAATATCAGAGTAATTTTCATCAAACGAAACAATTTCAGAGAATTCTGTATCTGTAGGTGATGATCTAAATTCCGGAAGAACAAAGCTTGGAAGATCAGGATATTTTTCCTTTACCAAGTTATCAAAATAGTCATCCCTAACTTCTGATGTTCTGGGCTCTTGAATTTTAAAGTTTAGAGTAGGTAAATCTTCTTCATTAGGTAAATCAAATACATCGCCAATTGATCGGTAAACTTCAATAATACTTTCCATCTGATCAAGTAACATAGCAACTTTGTTTTCAGAATTGTTCAATTTTTGTTCTAATTCTTCATTAATAGCGGCCAATTTATAATTTTTTTCTTTATATAAATTTATTTCACTTTCTTTTAATGTTTTTTCTTCCTCCCAACATTTTTCTTCTTCACTTTCATCTTCTTTGTCTAAGGTTTCTTGTTGTTTAAAAGACGATTTTGTTTGTTCTATCTCCTGTTCAAGATTTTCTTTCATGTTTTCTGATGTTAAAATTTGTTGTTTTAAAAGTTCATTGGACTTTCTCAATGCATCATTTTCAGTTTTTAAAGGGCTGTACATTCTCTTCAACTCTTCATATTCTTGGTCCACTAAAGCTTTTTCATCCTGAATTTGAGCTATTTGTGTTTGCATGTGTGATATTTGTTGTAATTTTTCTTTTTTAAGCGTTTTCAATTGTTGTTTTAGTGACTGCTGATTTATATAATCCTGCTGTATTGAAGTTCTAGCACTATCGTGAGTATTAACTGCTTTTTTAAGTTTTGCTTCTAATCCCTCTTTATCTGCGTTAATTAATTGATCCTTCATCATTTTCATTAATTTTTCTGCACTCTGTGCATACATATGTATCATTTGATAATCCGACCCTATCTGATTTGCTTTTTGTTTAATTTCTTTAAGTTGTCGTTGAGTTCTTGCCGCTTTTGATTCAACTAAACGAATCATATCTTCGATTTCAGCTATTTCATAAAATGTTTCTATTTCATTATAACTTTCGGAAATTTCTTTAGACGGTCTTGCCTCTTCACTTTCACAACGTTCTGAGACTGTTTTATGTGGATTGCCTTTTTCAGTACTATATTCAGGCTTCACAGCTATTTGCTTTGACGCTTCTAATTGTCTTTTTATTTGAAGTAATTGTTCTTTAATCGCTTGGATATTATTTAATAAATTTGTTGTTTTTTCAACTTTTGATTCAATATTTGCAATCTTTTCAGATGCTAATTTGGATTGATTTACTGTGATTTCCTGATATAAAAAATAAAGGTAAAAATTACTATGTTAAAAATTAATAAATGTAAAGAACAAATACTTTTTATATGAAAGAAACCTTTGCGTGCTGCAATTGTTGACTTAATTGAATAATAAACCGAATAATTGAGAATTTTTCTGATCCTATCTCCTCACTATCTGACAATTTCTCTGCATCGATATCATCATTTAACTCTTTATCAGGAGAATCCGGTGTATATCCATTCTTTTTAGCCAATTCTAGTTGTGTTTTAAGCCAAAATTCGCGCTTTTTAAATTCAGCAAGTTTAAAATCTTGTTCTTGGAGTCTTTCCAAATAACTTTCTCGATCCATATTTGAGTGATCATCTGGAGATTGCCTATAATATTCAGAAGATGCCGGTCTATCTGAAGAATTTGAAAAATTAACATCGTCTCTAACAATACTTGAATGTTTATTAATGGTAGGTGAACTATCGTGAAAATTGTCCGAAAGTTGATCCACGGTTTGAACATCTTGTGGTCTCCGCAATTGTGTTTCATCAAATGCAGATTTTATATTTCGCGTATGTTCTATATTTGAATTTGTTCCATTAATGTTACCCGTTGGCACTTTATCAAAAGCTTCGGAAAATTTCTCTTTTTCTATCATTTTTGCATTATCTGTAGAAGTTTTTAAATTTTCATCAACTGTTCGGTTATCTTCAATCTCTGGCAAAGATTCGGTTACTTTCTCCAAAGGACTTTTCACTCGACGTTTTGGACCACCCGGTCTTGTTATAAAACTCTGCAAATTTGTGATTTGCGACATCCGAAATATAAGCTTTTGATTCTTTATATTAGTGTTATTGTTCTGTTCATTAGTATAATTTGATGTTTCTCGAGTTTGAAGTTTCTGCGACGTGGAAATTGAAGACTCAGATGATCTTCGTTGTAGCTGCTGCTGCGATAATGTATTCAAATAAGATCCCGTAGGAAATTTTATTTTTGCTGAATAAAGACATAAAATCATATATTAATGTCGAAAAAATGTTACATACTTGGATCACATAAGAGATAAAATACTTACATGTATCCAAAACATGGATTATTCCTTTCGAATGTATAGATACTCCACCAAAAATAAAAGCCTTGTCATCTGCTGTAGTCATTGTATGTCCATAACAAGGACTCAAAAAAGGATGCACCAATTCTTATCAATAAAAATTAAATAAAATTTTATTTTTTTCTATACTCTAAATCTATTCACCTTGGTGTAGGGCCCATTTTCTGAAATATATGCCATGTCTTTTCTAAATAAAAGTATTTTGATTAGCATTTTTTACAAAAATTCATGATTATTCCAGTATAATAAAGGTTGTTTTTTTTTTAAAAAAAAAAACAATAAATACGGTTTATTCTGAATGCTGTCAAATCGGATAATTCTTTTTTATCATCTGTGATTCCGCCGAAAACATAAATAACATCATCCACAAGAGCGGCCTTATGGTAACAACGCGGAAGTGGATTAAAGTCTGTTAAAGAAATTTCAGACCAAGAATTGTTTTGTGTGTCATAGCACCACATATCATTGTAACATCGAATTCCATCAGTTCCCCCGAATCTTATTAATAAGATTCAATTTTAATTAGCATATTGAAAGAAAAAGAATAGACAATGATACATACATGTAAATGTTATCTTTATATGCGCATGCAACATGCCCAGCCCTGCTAGGCGGTGCACAATTCGAAGGAGAAATAAATTTCCAACTTAAATTTTGTGATTCAACTATGAATGAATATAAAAATTTTAATTTTCATTCAAATGCGTTTTTTATTCAATTATATTGTTATAGAATTAGTTATTTACTGGTAGCTAAATCAAATACGATTAAGTCATTCAAATAAATTCCTTGGAAATTTTGACCACCAAATATATACATGGAAGTCCCGATTATAGTTGCTGAATGGCCGTGACGTTGTGTAAGAAAATTTTTTTCAGGAATTGAAAGTTTTGACCACTGTCTTGTAACTGTAAATAAGTACATTAGCAACAAATATATTTTTTTTTAAAAAACAAAAATAAATAAATAAAAGAACGCTTGTGATGCGATTTTTAATTACCAGTATTGAGTATATAGATAAAATCGGTAGGATTTTCTGTAAGATATGTAAGCAATCCACCGAAAACTGTATATAATTTGTAGCTTGAACATTCAATATTGCATTTACTTAGATTTGGATCTTAAAAATACTGATCGGGCATACCTATCATATAGTTCCCGATATTAACATGTGTGTGTCCGCTCCGTGGATGCGGTATATCTCCTGATGTTGTAAACCTATACGCATGTAACTTATCTGAAAATTATTGTTTAAATCAGATACAATACGTCTATATTAGTTTAAATTAGTTAAAACTCCGAAAACAAAATTTTACACATACCCGTCTCAATGACAAAAACATCATTTTGAGGTTTTCCTTCAACAATTCCTCCGAAGATGAATATTTGATTATTAATTGCACATTCATTCGATGAATGTCCATAACGTGGAAAAGGATTGCACTCTTCAAGTTGATTAATTTGAGTCCATGGATAAATTGGACCTGTTGGTTTTAGTTTTAATTTTGACATCAAGCTCATAGCGTAATGAGACGGCGCAAGTTAAATGCATAACCAAATTGATGAATTTTTGATGTGACACATCTTTTATTATTCTTATTGAGGCTCCAAATGCATGATTGGCTAGTAAGTTCACCTAAAAAGATGTATTTTTCAGTTAACGGTTAATAAGCAAAATTGAGCATCTATGCAGTTATATATATGCGTTTAGAAGTATATATAGAAGTAATCATATTTGGTTAGGGCTGACTGAAAATCTTATTCCGGATCGTATGCTGCATTATCTGATACATTTTGGTAATTAAAATATGCCTATCGCTATTGTTAACGCCTATCGCTATTGTTAACGTCTATCTACGTTGCTCAAACTCATATATATATATATATATAGTATCGACAATAGATGTAGTAAATACACCGTATTCATCACATAGTTTGGGTTATCCGGATATTCATTATCATAATTTACAAATACAGTAAACATAAAACCAGATTGCTGTATCGGTATAATTTCGAAATACTGATACTACTTATTTTGTAAACCAGAAAAGGAAACTTAGGTCGTCAGGGCAGGTTTTCTACTGTACATAATTATTATTGTAGATCATAATGAAATCGAATTAAAATGAAAATTTGAGATTTCTATTTAACCTCTAGCATAGCAGAAACTCGTATTTTTAACAAACGGAAAATGTGTACCAGGTTGGTGCGCCATGGTGGCTTGATACTCCGGAGGTTCAATTTTTATGATCTATTGATACGTATACATATTTATAATTATGCAATTATTTAATTAAATAGTCTTTCCATATTGATGTAAATAATGTAAATAACGAAAATATTTCTTATCACAATTGTAAAAATGCAAAATTCGTTACAAGTTTGTATTAAACAAGAACAAATAAATGGTTATAAACGTAAAAAAATTAATATTCAAATAATAAATATAAAATTTAGGACTCAAAATTATTCAACGTACCTATTTCTCAAAATTCCATTACTAGATGGTGTGACCAAGGTTACAAATTAATCTAGATTCAACCAATAGAAAGCCGTTAACCATATACAGGCCTATTTTTCAAAATCGTTGCCAGTGAGATTCGAACTCTAGATCTGCTGCTTGGAGAGAGTGACAATTTAAGTATTATATAAGAGTGCAAGATCTAGATTTATTCTATATTATAAATTTGAGTTTTATATTAATCTCTGACTACAATTTTCTTCAAAACTATATATCAAAATGGGTTTAATAATTTATCGGCATAGTGATGTATCACCAGTCTATGTGGAGTTTGAAATTTCAATGATTTGTAAGCAAAATTTCAAACTCCACATAGGCGGACTTTGAAATTTTGCTTACAAATCATTGAAATTTCAAACTCCGCATAAACTGGTGATACATCACTATGCCGATAAATTATAAAATTCTAGATATAATATTGGGCTACAATATATTAAAATTTTAACTAATTTGAATTGGAATTCTTAAAAAATTGCTTAAAAACTATAAAAACTATAAATAATTATTTTAAAAAATTACCATAATTATAGTTTTTAAGCAATTTCTCAAGAACTACTAATCCAAATTAGGTAAATTTTAATATGTTGTATATAGTTTTGTTACAAGGTGTTTAAAAGTAATAACTTCATTATTATTGTATTTTTATTTTCTATATCAGAAATACTACTGTAGATCACTAGATTATCTATAAATTTTATCCATGTTATCCCATGGCCCATTTAACCTGGAAGAAGCTGACTCATACGGATCAACCTAACCCGAGTAAAGGCTCTAATATATATAAAATTTATGTTTAGATTTAACTTAAATTATTAGCGTACTCAACTCTGCAGACTATTGTAAATAAGATATCTCGTTGTAACATTACAGCCATCATGACATATATATATTTGTATTTATTTATTTGATTACGGTTTACATCCGATTTTCTATGTATACAAATTCGAGTCCTATTTTTTTTAAAGAAAATTAAACCCATATAATCGAGATTCTGCCATATTAGGAATTATAATTTATCTAGAAGCAATTATGAAATACTATTTACATGACACTCGTTATACTATATTCACAATCATAAGTTTGAATTGATTGTGATAGTATATTGAGAATATTTAAGGTGATATTGTTATATTTTTCTTCTTAACTGCACTATGTTTCTTTAACGATTAATTATAGGTGGGTTAGAATAATGATAATAATTTGTAATTTATTACTTCAAATTAGACAGTAAATTACCTCAACACGAGGAAGTGCGATTTTTAATTTGTCTTTTAATAGAGCTTCCGCATTGGGACCAAGCTATCATAAATAAAATAAATAGATATCGAAAAATGCTTTAATAAAAATCAAAATCAAACTTTTAAATACCTCAATATATGAGTACACGGATCCATATTCATTTGGTTGATATCTTTCGGCAAGAACATCTTGCAATAACAACAATTTAATTAATCTATCCAGATCGACGGTCGAAAGTGTACTAGTTTTAAAATTCGGTGGCAGTATAAGCTGTTTTGTTTTTACCACATTTTCAGTGGTTTTGCTATTTGATCCTCTCATTATATTGACATATTGAGTTAATGTCACGTCTTTATGTCGGTTATATTGCACCAATGTCACTATGTTCTTTTAAAAGTAGTTAATATCAATTACTTTTAGAGTTCAATTTACCAATTAATAGTTAATACGAATAACTCCAAGAGAAAATTTGTAAAAGCCATTCTTTGAAAGCTTACTCTTACTCGTAATATCTTGATATATAGTAATTGAACACATTATTTTAATACCATTTAAATCAAATTGGTGGGGGTATTAAAATCGTATCTCAAGAAATTACGATTAAAAGTAATTTTCAAAAATTATTTACAGGTTTTTTTTTTGGCATCGCTCACAATGTACCTTAGCATCTTTCTGCGCATCATACGTTGATCTTTGTTGTGTAAGTGCATTTTTACAGTTGTCACAAGTGAATTTACACTGGCTTTTATCAAATTGTTCCCCGAAATACGCCATGATTTGTTGACGTCGACAATCAATCTGATTTTCGCAGTACTTTAACATTTCTCGTAAATTAGCTCTTTGCTGTTTCTTTTGTTCGTAATTTCCTTCACCGTGAACAATCAATCTGTCAATTGTATGTTTATCTGAATACGAATATAATAGCACACAGTCTGATGGTTTTCCATCTCTCCCAGCACGTCCAGTTTCTTGATAATAACCTTCAAGCGACTGAGGAAGTGAATGATGAATAACAAAACGTACATCTGGTTTGTCTATTCCCATCCCAAATGCAGTAGTTGCTACAATTATTTTATATTTATTTGAATGCCAATCGTCTTGAATGCGTGTTCGATCTACAGAGTCTAATCCGGCATGATAAAATGCTGCTTTAAAGCAAGCTAACCTAAGCTTATTCGCAACTTCTTCGCACGAAGCCTTTGAAGTACAATAAATTATCCCACAGTGACGTGCATGGCCTGATGAATGAATGAACTCGATAATTTGTTTTTCAGAATTTGTACTTTTCTTAACAACTTCGTATCTTAAATTTGGCCGATTAAAGCCCTGAGTGATAATTGCACAATTTTCCATGCGCAAGTTATGTATCACATCTTCTTTTACTCTGCTAGTTGCAGTTGCAGTGAGTGCAATCATTGGTACACCTGGAAATTTCTTTTTTAATTGGCCCAAATCTTTATAGTCGGGACGAAAATCATGACCCCAATGACTTACACAATGAGCTTCATCGATCACGAACCGAGCCAAAAGCCCACGTTTGTGAAGTAACTGAATTGATTCAATAGCTTTTATGCTTTTTCCCAACATTTCAGGTGTTAAATAAAGTAAAACGAGGCTAGGTGCAGCTTTTTGCATTTCAAAGAATACCAAATTTCTACGATCTAGATTTTGACTCCCTTGTAAATCCAAGGCTGGAATTCCGAGGTGATTTAACCGCAAGATTTGGTCTTGTATCAATGATAGTAAAGGAGATATAACTATTGTTACTTTGTGAGATCGTTGATTTTCTAGAACTGCGGGCAATTGATAACAAAGACTTTTTCCACCACCAGTTGGCATTAAAACAAAGACATCTTGACCATTCAGAGCAGCGTTGATAGCTTCCAATTGATTCTGGCGAAACGTGGCCAATTTGAAAGTTTCATGTAGTATACGATAAACAGGTGAATCTGTTGGTGATAAAGTGTTTTCATCTTTATCGAAATATGATGATGTTGAAATGACAGTTGAATGATCGTGATCCTGAGTGGGAGCATCAATTCCTACAAATTCAGATAAGCGAGAACCGGGTAATGATGACATAAATGACCCTGTTGTATCACGCTCTATTTGTTGTATTCTTTGCTGTATTGCTTCAATACGTTTTTTTGAATTTGCTCGAGTCACTTTTAACAATGAGACTCTTGAATTATCATATTTCTTATCCCCTTCAACAACTTCATATAGTTCATCAGAAATTTTGCATTTGACAATTTTAACTGAAACTAACAAAGACCGTAATTCATTAAGCGACATGTTAAGAAGATCATGATTGTCCTCGGGCAAACTAAAATTTAGACAAGCATCTACATCATCACATAGTATTGCAAAATTATCGATCGTGTTCAACGCCACTGACGGTGTGTTTAAACTATTTGCTGATAGATCGGATATTGCAATCTCATCATTTGACGCGACATTAGGATTATTGACGGTGAATTTACTGCTACGCGTCCATTCTTCGATTTCAGCCTTTATTTCCATTGGATCAAGTGGTTCTAAATCAACCAACCAGTCCTGTATATCCATATCGTCCTTTGAATCAATCATATCTTTCGCTTCATTATAATTCAAATCTATATTTGATGATGACACGGAATATAGGTCTTTTCTTGTAACATTTTCACAAGGTGATAATGACGTGATTTCTTTTTCTTGTAAAAGCATGTCTCGCTCGGTAGTTTGTTGTTGGTGACACCTACGTTTCGTATTTTGTTCCCAAGTATATGTCTCAAAATTCGCCTCTGGCCGCTTTTGTCGTTCTTTTTCTTTTCTATTTTGTTCGTACCACTGGAGTTGCTGTTTCAAATTGTTTCTTGGAACAGTCATCGATTGCATTATTTGGATCAACTCGTAAACACCTTATTTAATGCTGAAAACCTGATTTCAATTGCCTTATTTAGGGTCCGCCAAAGCAGCTAAGGACGCACCAATCAGAATCGACAAATACTGAAATATACGCGGAAAAAATTTTTATGGAATTTTGGAATCTTCGAGAAATCTTACCTATAACTGCAAATGGAAAATGTGTGCGCCACATGTGTCACATGCGCCATAGTAGCGAAAATGTATACAAAAATAACGATAACGAAGGTAAAAAAAATAAAAAAAAATACCGAATTTTTTTAGCATAATAAACATACAGTAATTCAAGCGAATTTTAAATTTATAACGCCAAATTGCTAATACATATTATGAATAGCATAATCGCTATAACTACATAAAACATTTAATTTGGTTAAATTACTGTCTTAGCTCTCTAAAAACAATTTTATTCCCTTTAGCTGGTAGGTTCGTGTTAGTCGCATTGTTGTCTTAGATATTTCTTGAAATT